ACTGTAAACCCATCCTTCAACATTTGAAAATGGAATTTGCACTTTTGATGGTTTTTCCTATACTTGAGAAGACTATTTCCAAAAAAATTGGATATGAGCAATTAGAGCTTAAGATTTGTTCAATTGTAATAGTCTCCAGTACTTCTGTTGTAACTATTGTATAAGTACTATCTGCTAGGCTCCTGAATTTTTGTGAATGATGATATGTAACAACTTTTGTTTGCGCATAAATGGCTTATCAGTCATGTCTTGGGCTAAAGATTAGCGGTGTTTTAGCTTTTTACTCATTTGACAGCATCTTTGTAGTTTTCAGAGTTTTGTGTAAATCCAGACGCCTGAGAACTGCAGACGATGCTCTTCCCTTTTCCGCTTTTTCTTTGTATGCTTAGACAGAAATGCAAACTCTCTAAATGTGACTCGCATAACGTTGTCTTCGCTAATTTACTCATTCACTATCTAAATTCAAATTCATGTAATTACATGTTCTTTCTTTAGATTTGGCTGCGATGACGGCCGCTAGGACATTTTTTGTTATTATTTGCGGCATAACTATGACGATCTGGTTATATCTTTTCCTAGGCTTAGCTGCACAGGATGCGCTGCCAGTTTTGGTAAGCACTTCATTCGTTTCATGGATTATTCCTCAGCATTAATGTTCAGGGGAGTGAAGTGAATAGGATGTCTTCTGTTATTGATACTCTTAAACAACAAGCTCGATCAGAAGCCGAGGAACTCAATCAACTAAAAGAAGCAATACATGAATTATCGAAAGGAAAACACTCGAACAAAGTATTTAATTTGTTAATTGCTGAGCAAACCTAGATATAGTCCTTTTCAATCGGATTACTAGCTGTATTCTTCAGAAAGCTGATTTTCACAAACCTCGGAAGCCGCGACGCTGGTTAGAGCCAATTCCTGTTGTGGTGAGTGCCCTTCTATACACTTACCTTAGTCTTTATTTTCATTTCTGCTAATTTCTTCTATCTATTTTGTTGTTTTTTGTAAGCACTGAGGAGTTTAGATAAACCACGTCTTTTTATAATTATTACGTAGCTACTCTTAAACCTGTGATTTTCTCAGTCAATTTTTTTTGTTAGGTATTTGTGTGCAACCGTTCAGCTGCGGTATTAGGCCTTATACGGAAATTATTATCGTAAGTTCGTTTCTGCATATAATTTCCCCTTAAAACTTGCTTGAGATTTTTGTTAGATCTACTGTGCACCTATTTCCATCCTACTAAGCAATTTTTTGAGATTGCGTCCATCTAGCGAGCTATTTCCGGTTATTGTAAGTCAGGATTGCGACGATATCCCTGTCCAGCGGTCTATCGCAGAATTTCGTGACAAAATAACCTACATAAAGGTTTGCTATACTAGGAGGTACTTCAATACGAGTTGCTACATTTTTCCAGCATAAAAGTGCTCAGCAGGATCATGTTGTTGTTCCTAAGCAACACAAAAAATACGCAGCCTATTATTATATTGCTCGTCACTATAAGCTGACTCTCACTCATGTGTTCGATGTTCTCAAACATAGTACCGTCATCCTTCTCGAAGGTGAGGTGATTGAGTTGGCCAGCTCATACGTACTTGGTTTTATGCTTTTAGACGATCTTGATATTGCTGACGACTTTTTTGAGTATTTCTCGGCAACGCGGTATCTGTTGGATAAAGACCCTATGTTATGGTGCGTCTCTGCATGGAATGATAATGGAAAGGTATGGGTGCTTCCCATTCCGTTTTTGTCAAACGATATGCAATATATTTGTATATGGAACTTATATTTTGGTAGACATCTTTTGTTGCTGCATACTTCACGTTTTTTTAGAGTGGTGTAATTGATACGGAAGCGAATACGCTTCTTTATCGTAGCGACTTTTTCCCAGGACTGGGTTGGATGATGACGAGGTTGTTGTATCACATTTTGATTTAAAATCCACTTTATTCTTCGAGATCTAGCTTTCATAATGGTTTTTTAGGAAAACGTGGGCTGAAATTAGCCCAAAATGGCCTGCAGGATTTTGGGATGACTGGATGAGAGAACCAGAGAACCGAAAGGCAAGCAACGATTATTTCAACAGACGCATAAAGAGTTGCTGCTTGCAGGGGCGTCATTGCATTCGACCAGAAATCAGTCGTACAAAAATGACTGCGTTTGGGAAAAAAGGCGCAAGCAAGTAAGTTTCTATCTTTTTCCCATCTGATGCTCCAATGGTGAGGTTGATTAAATATTCAGGGGGCAGTTTTTCGAGAAACATGTTGCGAAAGTTATTTTAAACAAAAATCCCGTTGCATTCACTCTCAAAAATCTCGACTACTTGTTGAATGTAAGTTTTGCTCGAATATCTTACGTAACTTTTTCTTTTGTTCCACCTACAATGTAGTATCTCTTTGCTATCAACGCTCAGCTTTTTAAAGCCGGATTACGATCGCCATTTCGATCAACTTGTATATGAAAGGAGTGCTCTTGTGGACATCAACGAAGTAAATGCCACCATCGCTACTGGAATACATAAGATTCTGAGGTGAGTGGGTGCAAGTGAATATTGTTTTAGGCACAGTCATGTAATTTTTCGAATTTATTCTGAGAGATCCTTTTATTTTCCTTTTCTTTCTACAACGCGACAGTCATTAAGTTTTTTGGATTTTTTACTATCAGTTATGTAATAAACTTCTACG